CGAACGATGAGTTGGCCGGCTGAAGTTCCCGTGTCGCCACACTTTGGATTTCGTCGGGAAATATCTTAAATACATCGCATATGAAATATTTACGCAAAGGAACGTCACATACCTCTTTCAAAAGTAGATACCAATGCTTGCAAGGGTCAAGTGTGGCACTTGTAATCCTGCAAAGACTCTGCGTGGTTAAGTTAGCCGGTGGAAAGCCGCACGTCGAAAATCCGACTGCCTCTATGACTTCATTTCGAATGGTTTCGAAATCGAAAACATGATGCTTTTCGACATTTCGACATGAAAAATCTCGTCGAGGTTTAATATTATAATATTGGTAAGAATTTAACCAGGATACGAGGCCAAGTCGCGCGATCGCCACAGGTTTTTTACAAAAACAATAACATCGTGTACTACGATCGCAAAGCGTGAACACTGATCGATCCACCAAGTGACGCAATACTGGAAATTCGATACGGTTGTTATTCAGGTCGTACGGTACATGAAAATTGCGATATCTTTTGTTACCGTTTTATGGCAAACCAAGCGAAAGAATCATACCTAAATAATCGAAAGAGAGGCCTTTTCGAATACGGTGCCTCGCAGGTATTGCCTCCTCTGTGAAAAGGAAGGATCTTAGAAAGACTACGTGATTAGAAATGTCGTTATAAGGAAACAGGCAGAAAAAGAGAAAACGCAGTATTTTATGACCATTACGCGCACAGCAAACTTCATTTCATTTCATGATTTTGATATTCATTGCCAACAGATGACCCCGCGTTAACTCGCACGCAATCGCGTATCTCTCGTGGATTCGTGGGCGCTAATCTGTGTAATTACATTGTGGTGTAATTAATGCGATGATATTCACCCAACACCTTCTTCCCCAAACCTCGGCATCAGTTTACGATGCCTGTTGAGAATTTTTTCTTGAGCAAAGCTCGTCATGTCAGGTGATTATCCGTCAGTTGTCAGGGTAAATTCGTTGCGAAAGCTTATTTACAACTAGTCTGAATTTCAGCCGTCTCTTCCCTTTACCCCAAGGGAAGGGACGTCTGAAATTCAGACTAATTTATAACGACTGAGGGACATAACACCGCAGTAAAGACACACACATACAGCATTTTAATTTTGGCCTCAGCTACCGGTTTGGAAATTATATTTTCGTCGGTCTCAAATTTGCAAAAGGAGCACGTTGAATTCATGGGGAAAACTAATACAACGTTTGAGGAACATGAAATAGGAAAGACTCGGCATACGTACATTTCAACCTCAGCCGTAACATTGGTTGTTCTTTTCTTTATGAGGTGCGGTTTTCCGCAAAATCGCTGTTGAGTGCTTTTCTTTGCTTTTAACATGGAGAGTTACGAGATTAAGATTTTGGATCAAGTTGATGCCATGACAAATTGGAAATTCTAAAATCGCTATATATGAAATGCGGGGACTAACTTAAGTACAGCGGCAAAGTAAACAGAAAGAAATAAGTGAATAACGAAATGTTTGTCAACTTGCTAGTAGTGGTCCTGTAGCATGCAAGGTTACATTATTAGCATGGAATCTTTAGCTCACTTTTCGACCATAATAAGTCTTTTTAAATGGCTATAAAAGGGAAAATAAAAATTTGGGTCTTTATATTCCTGAAGACTCGAGCTCTTTCTGAAGATGTGTTATTTAATAAGGGAAGACCGACAATTTTGATCAAAACTTGCGTTGTAAAGATTAAAGTAACTGAAAGAACTCTAAAAACGGTCTCGAGGTTTTTTCGGTCTCACTTTGTGACTTTGCTTGAGTCACGGAGAAATTTAGAACGATGATCAGAATAATAACGCATACCTCAAGCGTTCTACAAAAGCAGTACAAAATGAAATCCTGCGTTTATCAAATTTCCGCGGGTTGCAAAATTCATCAAATTTTGACGCTGCGATTCAAATCTTTCTCTCGCTGCACGATCCAAATTTCTCTATTTTCCATTCCTATATAAAGTTTCGCCTTAGAGTCGCTCAGTAAATGTTTATATTTGAACGTGATAATCTTTGTTTCCAAAGTTTTCTCCCGCTTACATCTGATAACAAATCTCTGAAGTTTTCTACCTCGGAACGATCAGCCAATAAACTTGTAGAGTTGCCACGGTTGTTGTTTTTCATCAGTACGTTAACAATTGAAACGACTAACAGTATTAAGGTTGTGCTTTAATTAACAAATGGTAAACACCACAGCGTACACTATTGAGTTATAGATGCACGCGGGAGGTTGCTAAGCACGAAAGAAGCGTAAGAGTCGCTCGAGGCGATAGC